GAGCTGGACCGAGCACAGGAGGACAAATCAGGAGCCCCTCTAGAACCAAGACGACGATCTTTGGACTGGCTCTGGACTGTATCATGTACTTGCTTTAAGAAGGGCTTGTGCCGGAAGGCCCAGGTATTCTTGTCAGAACTGTTGAGAGACCGATCAGCACAGCAAGCTTATGTCAAGAGTCGACCAGCATACTGCTGCTGGATCCGGCGTATGCATTTTGCCAAAACCGCAGAAAACCTTGGCCTAGCAAAACAAATTTCCTATGTCCATCTCTCCAGCTCCCTGCGGCTCCTTGTAGTCCGTTTCAAGGGTGTAGAGAACTTTCAGGCCGTTGGTGCCAGCCTTGCATGTCTTCGCATCAGTGACCTCCGCCTCCGACAAGGCGCGGTCCCAAATGGCGAAGCGGCTGATCTCGCTGCCATAGTAGCGTTCCAGCGTTCCACCACCGATGAATATCTCACCATCGACTCCGGGATTGTTGCTGCCAGGATTATAACTCGCGCTGGCAATCTTTGTGCCGTCCACATAGTAAGTAATCTGCAGAGGGGTGCGCAAGACATGTCAAACGTGCATTGGACTCTTTCGCAACCTACACCGGAAACCACGCCGGCCGCCTGCTGGGTGGACTTCGACAACACCAGGACAATGTGATGCCACTTGTCGTCCCACCTTAAAAAGCTGTGCACAAGCTAGTCAGCAAAGCCTGACCAACTGCGTTTCATTGCTGCATCTATCGAATTTGCTGCAATACAAAAGAAGTTGCAGCTTCGAGGCAAGTCGGGTCCTTTGTCACCGGTATGGACGTTGCTGCCCGCACAACCAAATATGTGGTGCTGGCCAGATGGGCCCACGAAGATACCCACAGCACGACGTCGGTGGGAGCTGCTGTAGGTGTTGTCGTTGAACTTTTTTCCGTACGTATGCATGAGGGCAGTGTTTGACTTTGGCTTCTCGCGGAACTTCATCATCACCTCCCAGGTCATCCCGTCCCCTTCATAGAGCTCCTTCCACAGGGACGTGACCTGACCGTTCTGGCGCGTGAGGAACCTCAAAGCGTCTTGGTCTCCCTTCCAGATCTGCGACGGAGGCGATGCCTCAAATTGCATTGGTTGCTTGGGAACTGCCTGCCCTACCCCCGACAGCCGCAAAAATGCTGGGCTCCAGGCCCCTTCAGAGGGTTTGCACAACCCACCGGCAGCAAGACACTGGCCATTCCTGGGCTTGGAGTCACGCAGAAACGCTTTGTTTTTGTTGAGTCCCGTGGCTGCACACTTTCTCATTGGTCGTTATGCAAGTGCTGGGGCTGACAAAATGATCATCCTAGGCACGTGGTGATGGCACACTGAATGTAAACGTTGCCGCCTTCCATGTGCCTGGAGAGGACTGCATCAGTGAACAGCCACTGTCTACATGTCCCACTGGAGCAAATGCTGTTGCACAGCGACACCCGTCCTTGTGTAGTGGTTTTCGCACGCCTGCTGGGGAAGTCTCACACCAGAGTGGGTCCCCAAGTAACTAGTACTTTTATGATGGCTTCCCTTTCCTCTTCTTGTGCTAATGCAAAGCAAGTGGACGACACTACGATCTAGTAGAACCTCAGCGAATCATCCCGGATCCTTATCATGCTTTGCGAGTAAAGCTGACTTTGCAATAGGTGACAGGCACAGTAGGGAGGTGGAAAATCAACGCAGGCGTTATTGCATGTGAATGCTGAAGTTCAATGAGACACCTTCTGGAAAACGTCTATTCCGGAATCATCGTTCTCTCAGCTCAAGTCAGGCGCCGGAAATGTCCCCAAAAGCCAATTAAGGGAACATGCCACTGCACAAGACATCACTGTCATTCGGTATCACTGTTGCTATTGTACTAATACAGAAATTAACAATAATGTCGCAAAACTCGTAAATGCAAAACATGGCCCCAACTGTCAGGTTGCCATCACAAGGCTCTCAGCTTAAGTAAAGATTCTGCACATCTGCAACTCCCATGCGGACATCTTCACCGAGTTCACAACTTCTAGGCTGCTGTAGTAGAGCATGCTCAAACTCAACTTATCTATGGACGGCCTGCATACTGGAAACATAATTTGCAATCATGGCTTTGGAATTTCGGCTTAAGGTTTCGGACTCAAGAAGCTTAACAATGAATGTGATTCTTTTCTTGAGTGCACGCAGGGATGACGCTATACCACACCAAAAACTTGAACGGCCCGCACCCCGAGCCAATCAAGACTGATGGTAGCAAATTGTTCGTTCACATTTCTCTGGGGTGATCACGCAGTTGCCACTCACATGCTCCCACTGAACCCTCTAAACACCTGTACCCCATGATAGTCCAAACAAAGAGGCAAACAGCGCCTGTCGCAGTCGCGCGGGGTCGCTATCAACAATCTCGTCGCAGTGCCAAGCATTCTTGGTTGCTGTACCCTTGCAATTGGCCACCTGTCGATTCTCTCCAGGTAGTCGCAAAAGTAACAGTACTACTACGGGTCGCTAGGGCAATGGTGGGTGGCGATAGCAACAGCAGTAGCAGTGGTGTTGCTAGTGGTGTGTTGTTGGTGGTGTTGGTGGTGTTGGTGGTGTTGGTGGTGTTGGTGGTGTTGGCGGTGTTGGTGGTGGGGTAGTGGCGGTGTTGGTAGTGGTGGCAGAAGTGGTGGTAGTGGCTGTAGGGGTGGTACTGGTGGTATTGGTGCTACTGGAATACTGGTGGTACTTGTAGTATTAGTGGTGGTGGTAGCGGCGCCGGCAGTGTGGTCGTGGCTGTGGTAGCCTTAAAAGGTAGCGGCAACGGTAGCGGTAGCAGTACCAGTGGCGGGGAGGTGATGGCCGTGGTGGCGGCGGTACTGGCCGCAGTGGTGATGGTTGCTTGTTGTTGCTCCCGCTGCCACCGACGCTGCTGTTGCGCCGTCGCCGCTGCTGGTGCCGCTGCTTCTGCTGTTGTTGCTGCTGATACTCTTATGGCTCCCCACATGGCACGTTAACTAACACAACAGGGTGGCAATGCAAGGAGCTAGGAAAATTGGCTGATGTCTGCACAGCACACCGGTCAACAGGACGCAGGAAGGCCAGATCGGAAAGCTCGGACTAGCGTGCCTTGTAAGGATTCTACGCTATAGAGTTTGTTTTGTTTGGGGGAAGGTGTTCGACACCGTTTGGAGGGTACCTATCCCACAATTCCAGTACAAAAGCACGCGCTGCTGCCTGTGAAGAGTCACGGTCGGTTTCATTGACCCATGTCCAAAGCTTTGCTGCGTCAGCGCCCAGCAGGAGGACAACTGACAGCGCCAACGCCTGCAGGCTGTGAGACTTGCAGCCCCCCTACCCTGCCAGCAATTGTCCAAGCGCAGCAGGGAGCCTGGCGCAGAAGCAAATTTGCGCTTCGAAGCTGCATTTGAATCGGACCTCTAAGTCATTCCATTCAGGGCACTGATTTGAGCCAGGCCCTGCAGTGCATGAATGGTTCTTGCGACAATGCTATACTCAGTATCAATGGGACAGCGCAGCAAGGGTGAGCCCGTCGATGGCTTGAAACTACCTTCTTGGGGAGCTCCTCATTTCTTGGTACTTCATAGGGATGTAGGCAGGGCACCTGGGCATGCGCAAGAATTCCAGCCCCTGTATACTTCACAAATTCCGGCGTCCCAATTTGGGCTCCAACATGTTGGCAGATGTTCATGGATGTATCATCCAGCAATTGAAATCGGAGTTGAGGGGCCAACCCTGGGCTCAATACTTTCTGGCAGATCCTTTCAGATCCAGGATGTTTTCGTAGTATCAAGAGAATATGTAACTCTTTCTGAGACATGACCCAGCTGCAGTTCGAGGCCCTGACCAGCATCACCTGCAGATTGCACCTGGTGAGCATGTTGTTTCTCCAAAAATGGGAAGATCTGTGGATATTGAAATTCGCAGAGAATCATCAGGCTGCCATTTCAGAATCCTACAAGGTCTACTCCAGGACCGTGGGACTTGCCAGCTCAAAGGGATATGAACTCTGTGCCTGCGACTACCTGAGCTCCAGTGCTATGGCAAACACAAAAAGCGGCCCAGAACATTGTAACATGAGTTGGAACTTATGCATGGGTAGTTCACAGGATGTGCTACCGGAAACATGCAAATCACTGCTTGCAGGGGGATCAAGGCAGAAGCATGTGAAATACATAGACAGCCCAGTCCTTGGCAAAACGTCCTCTGCGCATCACAATTTGCTCGAAAAATGCAGAGCAGGTGGAGAGGACCACAACATACGACCAATTTAAATGTCAAAAGATCTGCATGGGCCACCTCCGTGCTGAACAGCGGGGTACGAACAACCAACACTGATGTTCTCAGACATCTGTGATGCAGAAACAATTTCTTCACGAATGCAGATTAGGCGGCTACAAGCTGATGCGATTCACTGACCACACCACTACCACACTGAAATGATTGTCCAAGCAAACCACGAGCTGGGGGTGGGGAGGAGCTGAGCAGGAGATATGCTGCGACCGGTTGCAGGCGCGCATGTGAGGTGGCGTCAAAATTACTTGTTTGTTCTCTCTTGGTTTTTGAGTTAGGGCGCCCCCTATCGATTTCCACGTTTTGGGGATATTCTCTTAACCATACCTTAAATGAATTAAGCCTATAGTTTTAGGACGTCCCCTATCGATCTTGGGGATTTTTGCTTAACAAGTACCGCCTAGACGAAACGAAGTAAACGGTACTTTTGACCGCGACTCATGTAAAGACAACCTCAAGAAAATCCTGTTCCCCAGCCATTTCCAAGCCTCGTCCTGACGCCCTTGGTCTCGGACATGTGTTTGGCCGCGCATTTTTAGTCCTGCTGCCTCTATGATCAGGCTATGTTGTGCTGAGATGCTTAAGCTGCAACCCCTACTTTGAGATCCCAACGCCTGGGGAAACTGCACTACTGACACTGCAAAGCAGTCAAGCTGCCCTCAAGCATGAGCCCGCCGGTGCTTCTTTGCAACGAGACTTCAACGGATCTGCTTAATTTCAAGCCTGGTGCGGCTTCATGCAAAATCCCGGACCGTGGGGCTCTTTAGAAAATGGTTGACACTCACGGCCAGAGGATTTATGCTGGAACTCATGCAAGGGTTTACTGAGCCTCTGGAATGCTGCGACCTTTCTCCTACTGCTGTGATTTCTGTTCTGCGGCGAACTTTCTTATACGGCTTCTGCAGCGGTCAAGAGTCTGTCAACTGCAATTTCATGCCTCCACATCTGTCTGCCCACTATCAAGACGTTGGAGGCAGGCGTTTGACTGAGAGCTTCGGAAACACTCGGGATCTCAAGGATGCGTAATATTCATACCAGGATCCATTGCGAGGTTCTAGAATTCATTGCGAAGCTCCCGCTGTTTGACTACATGCTTACGTATGCGCTGGTTTGAGAAAGACCCATCTGACACCAGCCAACAACCGCAAGCACTGGCTTCACAGAAGCTGAAGCCCTGATTCAAGTTAAGACTTAGCTGCATGCTTCTGCATTTTTGTTTGCATCGTGGTCTCCCCACCCTGTAACGACACGTACCTCATAAAGCTAAGTCGTGTGTGAGTCATGCCTGCAAAAAGCAGATCAGAGTTGCTCGCCCACTTTTTGCTCCCTGCCTATCTGCTCGCAATCAAACTACCAGTTGCACAGTTTACTCCCTGCCCCACAAGCTTCGAACAAAAAAACAGCATTGAAGTTCATACTCTATGAACGCCAATGGCATCAACATCAGAGGGAGAGCGTTACTCAAAAAGGAATCGCCGCGAAGACTTATCGAAGAACATCATCACTACCTGTGAGACTTTCGTGCGGCGCTTGCATGGGCCTACGGATGCATCATCCACGTCAAGAGCGCTCCCATGACGAAGCAGCTGCCAAAGCAGATTCCGGCAGCGGGAATCCTCAGTGGCAATTTGTGAGGAATCCTCAATAAGGGAGTCAGAGTGGCCGCTGTCGAGTCAGTGCGTTCATGAGAGCAGTTACTATTAGGCAACAGAATTGAACCACGCGGAACCCCTACTACCCGGTGCGAGGTGCTGGTCCTAAGTCGGAGGTACAATACTCCCTTTTGAAATTCGGGGTTCATCGCTGAAGATACGCTTTGCTGACCTTGGGATACGCCTGTCCAGCTTTGAAAGGCACCCCGCATCAAAGCTGGTCGTTTTGGTCGCGAGCTGCCCAACTGTCAAACCCTCAATTCCTGCCATATCGAAATCTTGAGCAGCGTCCCTGTCTTTCCAATCCATGTACGTACGCCTCCATCATCTGCTGAAAAGCCCTAACGTCGAGCACCAAGGCGCGTGTTCACGTCCATCCAAACGGTCCAGCAGGTTCCGTTGAAGATGGGTCTGCGCGCGCATGCACCGGAACGCAGTTCTACATGTGGAGGTAGAGGGGGGAGCTATTGTCAGTGCAGTTGCGCGCTCTACATGCCACCTTTCAAACTCTCCGGGTGGTTGCAGCTTGGGGCCCGTGATCCTGGGAATGCTGGATGGGCCTTCCATGGACTTTGCTGCAGCAAAAAAACAATCACGGGGAGCTTATGCTGGGGGTTCTCAACTGGCACGGTAGGAAAAAACATACTCCTGCCCAATATTCTCTAAACTTTCCGAGGGCAGCTGTTCAACAAGTTAAGTTGGACAGGTTCTTGATTTCAATCTCATTGACTGTCCGACATGCAGGTTCTGACTTACAGTAACTCAGGGGTAGCCCTTCGCCTGCGAGGGTGTAGCATGGCCTTACACACACAGAACTGCCGCCTGCTCGGTGTGTGCTTGCTGCCACAGAACCACTGCTTGCCGGAATGCTCAGGGATATACACCACCGGATGAAACCTGGGCTCGATTAAGCTGCCTGAGGAGGCGAGCTTGGAGTTGAAAATCATTCATTGCAAGGCCGAGCACTCTGCAGAAAAGGTTACTTACCAGGCGACATGTACCTCTGGCACACCAAGTCGGGAGAGGCAAACCAGTAATTGTCTGGCTCTTCTAGCCAACAAGCTTGTAACGTCAGTGAATGGTAGCTTGGGTCAAAAGCACTTCTTGACCCATCCAGCTAGGAAGGCCCACGCTCAGAACAACCCTCGCCAGGCCTCACAAACCATGACAAACCCAAATCCTCAACCTGAAATCCGCGACGCTGAAGTGATTCAACCTGAACTCCCCAAACCCGAAAACCCCAACCCTCAACGCTGGAATTTTCTGCAAGCCCAGTCCGCATCCCTGAAGCTTCTGCCAGCCGGCAGCCCTGGAACCCCTGGGACCTCCAGAGCGAACAAACCCTGAACCCCCTAGGCATGATAAACCAATAAAATGGTCGCAAACAACCCTTGGTCAAGCAATCTTTGGGTGAAGGCAAGGGGCTTCGTGTCCTTGCAGCCCACTTGGTCGCACCAGGGCTGGGGAATGGACTCGCCGCAGGAGCACCAGTGGTAAACAGTGTCCTTCTCCACCTCAGTAAAGCTTGGGATCTTGAGGCCTATGTACAGTCAAATCATAACGCCTGGAGACACCCTTGCTTCGGCAAAGCCACATGCTCGATGTACGGGCCCAACTTTGGCGAGAAGGGCACAGGCTCATAGGGAAACCACCTGGCAGGGCTTAGGGCTTTGGATTATAGAGTCTAGGCTGCAGGGTGTAGGGTTCGAGGTGTAGGGTTTAGGGTTGAAGGTTTGGGAGAACCACCTGAGAAGAACCTGAAGCATGCAAGGGCAGTGCTCAAAGTGATGGTCCCTTTTTTATGCAAGTAACATAAAGAGGCTCACAAAAAATGAGAGGGACAAAATCAATTGCTGCTTCGACTGTTGACAATTCTGGCCTGCTATTAGGACCTGCACGTGGACAAGTCTATTTTTTGAAAGTAGCCATGGGGACCCATTAGCCGGTTGTGAATTGGACTTTCCAGCACGGCGAGCCGGACAAAGGGTTTACAACATGTTGAGGAAAGAGCAAGTGACCCCCAGCCTGCCTGAGAGCAACAGCTGTCAACTCAAAACAGAACTACTACCACCCTAGGCAGTTGTGTTGTTTTCGGCAAAGCTCTAAGTAGAGAACAAGAGGGCCAAGTTGCACTCTGCAAATGACGTGCAGTCGTACTGCCTTTGAAGGTTCACATGCAGCAGACATGAGGCAGATCTCTAGGTGTTCTAGGAAAAACTGCAGCGCAGCTTGCCTGATTGCACTGGACAAGGGTTACAGGGCAGCAGTTATGCCCGAATTAACTCTCACCGGTAGACGATGGCTCCAAGAAGTGCGTGATAACGTATAACACCCGTACAGAACTGGAGGAAAGGTACTCAGCCCTACATCTGTAGGCCTGAAGTAGCTCCAAGTTGGGCCCTCAAGCAGCCTGTTCCACTGCGAGGGAATCTTTGGAGCGCCGTTCTTCTTCGAAACCTCGTAGCCTGCTGCCTCCCACTCCTCGGGCCTCATGCAGGCTGCGAACTAAAAGGCAGAAAATATCTTCTCGAGGGAGATAAGAGCAACGCGTGACTGAGGCCCAAGGGACTCTGAGGAAACTGCAATGCAAGAACTGAGCAAGTCTAGCTGTGTCATTTGCCCGACATGAGATCCCAGCGTGATCAGGTCTACGTAGTGATACCTGAACCCCCAACAAGCCAAGCCAGGCAAACAGCGGTCGCACGCTATGGGCTGGGGCACTACAGTATTACTACAGTATCCCCCATTCCCCCCCCCTGCGGCAGATCTGAGATTGGGGCGTAGAGGGGATGAATGCGCTGGTACGAGCTGCAGCGGCTGACGGAAGCCTTCAGCGGGGGCTCTTGCACGAAGGCGAAACAGTTTGGCGGTACAAAGAGCTACGGGAGAAGATTCCTAGAGCCGGGGGAATCGCCTGCAACACACGAAACGGGAAGCTAGGAGAGTACACTTCCTGTCATCAGCGACTGCTCGTGCGGTCACAAGTCTTGCTCGCACGAGACGTTATCAATGATAGCCAAATTCCAGTGACACCAGTAATGCGTAATGGCACAGCGTCAGGAAAACATAAACGCTTCAGCTTGTACTCGGCTGCGCTTACGTGATTACTGTGCAAGCTGATGCAGTGCAGTGACACCTCAAAACCAAAATCAGCATCCAAACCCTCAACATCCCAACGAAACTTCCTAGTGGACCGCATTGGCCCCGGACCGGGAGACCGCCAGCATTCGACCTTTCGTCACGGCCCTGGCAGTAGACATGTGATCCCCCAGATGCCTTTCTTTGGGGTTCTCCAGGAGTTTTTGCAACCAAGCCCGGACATTGCCGGAATGGCTAGTTTTGCACAGTACTTCGGACCAGCATGTGTAAAGTGATATTTGGACTTACGATGCAGCATGCCAGTGGGCAACCTCGGGCACTAGGCGGGCTGGTTGCAGTGTCGGGCCAGGGTCTAGGCCCCGAAACCTGCCTCATGAGCGACATGGCTAAAGCAATGTCAGGAGGGATGTAGGCGACGCCAGCTTACGTAGAAAGCAGGTGCCACGATGGTACTGGACCACCCTGAACCAGAACAGCGGCCAGCATTCGGACATTTTGCTTGAATGCTCTTGAGGTTTTATCACATAGATCCATGACCATTATAGAGCAAAGGAGCTTCTGCGAAGTCAATCCATAAGGACTCCCTGCTCAAGCTAGAAAAAATGATGCTAGGAGTCGGCCCGCAGGGTACTTACAAAAGCTCGTCTCACGCATGGGAATCCCTGAAGCATCCATCAGGTGACACTGTGCCGACTGAAGACAGCAGCACGTTTTGCAGCGCTGGCAGCGTCTGTGCGCTTTCTGCATGGGTGGTCGTCAAAAGCGAGGTAGGTAAAACAACTTGATGGCAGCTCTCCTTAGGATTGCACCTATCGCCCCCAACGCAAGATATGATGCAAAGCCTCCAGCCAGCTTTTCAGGATCTGATGCAGCCATACTTTTGACAACCCCTCCTGGGTACTGCTTTGGTACCGCCGCATTGGGCTTGAAGGCCCCTTCAGGACACATGTACCCTCGGTCTGGCACTTTAACTGGGTGATGTCAGGGTGCACCTACGGCCCCGTAGGCCTTGCCTAAGCAAGGAAGAGTAAACAACTCCGAAAAATTACAACTGTTTAAAAGGAGGGGTGGTGGCAGCGGGGGTGAGAATTAGGAATTTCCTAAACCTGGTTTCATCTTTGTAGGGAAGAGCTAAGTTAGGGCTTAGGGAGTTAAAGGATTGCCCACACCGAAGTCCAAACCCCTAGCACCTATCCTACTAGGGCGAAACCCTATCACCTATCGCCTGTAAGCAATAGGGCGAACTCCTATCACCTAGCCTAGCGCCTGTAACCGCGAGGGCGCAACCCTATCACCTATCGACTGTAACCACTGCGGCGAAACCCTTCACCTATCGCCTGTAACCACCAGGGTGAAACCCTATCTTTAACTACTATCTATCCATCTTAAGCCACATACCTCAACATACCCTCAAGCCACATGTCAAAATTCCAAGTTCTGCCCTCCCGCCCACCCCCACCCTCAAGAGAAAAGGAAAATAAAATAGATATTATAGGAACTTCCAGAGGTGACCCCCCCACCCCCCGCCACATTCCAATCGCCAGGGAATTCCAATTCCGAAAACTACACGATAGATTGCGTGGTCCATGAATGTTTGCCTCACTGATGGGAAAAACGCGCAAAGTATCGTTCCACAAGGACACACGTTATAGAGCCTCATGGCAAGAAGCCTCAATTCAAGGACACAACACCCATGTTAAAGGGAGCCTCCAGAAACAGGAGCCGAAGGCGCTTGCAGCACTGAGTCATCGCGAATTTCGGAGGACTCCAGCACTAGCAAAGTTTTTCGCACGCGATATGCATCTCATCCGCCACATATGCGAACACTTACAAGAACTGTTCACCCGAGCCATCTCCATGGTCCTGGTATCAACTTAAGGCGGAAACCAAAGAGCTATTGAATTGCGATGAAACTGGTTAGCTTGATGTCTATACTGGGTTGATATCATCTGCTACCGCGTTGCGGGAGTGTCACTCTGGCTATTTGCCTCTGGACATTTCTCATAATGAAGTTAACCATAGCTGTCCCACTTCAGGATCAGATAGGGAGACAAGCGCTGGCAGAGGCCCCGGCAACGCAGAACGTAGCGCAGAAGATGCCAGAAGTCACCATGACGGAAACTTGAAGGGCTACTTGCAGGCTGAGGATCCTCATATGCGGACTCCAGCTTCAATCACTTTCTGCATGTTCGAGTATGGCTTTCGTCTTGGAAGCGACTATGTCAAGATGATCCTGATCTTCTGGGCATGCCGGAAACGCGGGCCGCCCCTGTCCAGAGAGGCCCTCGAGGAAAAGGTACCGGCAGGAGGACGCCGCTAGCCACTTCAGGGATTTGGAATGATCATGCTGGATAAGACGCCAGGATTCAAGATAGTCAGCTGGATAGAAGCATGCGACGTAGCAATCCAAAACAAAGATCCTGACAATCACCGAAGACGACGAGCTCGGCATGACTCAGAGGTCATCGAAGTCGTCAAAGGCCTCGACCTCATGTTCGCGCCTCGGCATGCAGAGCACGGTGACTGCAGCTTGCAAACACACAGTCACACACAAGTATGTGGAACAGTCAGCAATTTGAGCATTTGATAGTAGAAGCAAATCTCCTAAGCCTCTGTCGATAGCGGCGTCTGTCCAAGACGCTGCAGGTGACTCATCACTAATGACAAATACGCAGTTGCTTTGAACACGCGTGCATCGGACTGCAAGCCACCCACAGCCCTTCCACAACCCACACGTGCCGCAACATCTCAAGCATCGAAGGCTGAAACCTCTACCCCCACAAACCTCTCATCCTTGCCAGGCTTTGCCTGGAATCTCCTGGCTGTACCCGCGCTTCGGAGTGCTGTTAGCATGGCTATCAACACTGCTATTCTTACAAGCAATTAAAGGCCATGTTCGACGGTACAGTCACCCTCAAGTAGATGGAATATGGTACTCTCCGCCAGAATCATAAGAAGATCTCCATATATCCCATATTCCTTCCACTTAAGGGTGACTATTTAGGTGGACCCCCCACCAAGCAATATTGAGTGTAAGGAGAAGTGGCGATCATATTAGGGTCCTCTCATACTCCTACTATACCACTATAACAGGGTGGGGGTCCACCTAACGTATATTCCTGAACCCTATTATAAACCCTAAACCCTATAAACCCTAAACCCCTAAACCCCTAACCCCCTTGAACCCCGAAACCCTAAATCCCTCAACCCTAAAGACCCCTTGAACCCCTCAACGCCAAATCCCTCCACCCTAAACCTCTTGAACCCCTGAACCCTAAATCCCTAAACCCTAAACTCCTAAACCCTAAACCCTCACGCTCAGGCTCCGGCAGACCGGCTTTCATCTCGGCTAGGCCTGAGATCTCCTGACAGTAAGGGGTCTATAAGGTTTACAGGGTTTACGGGGTTTATAGGGTTGATGGGGTTTATAGGGTTTATAGGGCTTATGGGGTTTATGGGGCTTCTGGGGTTTATGTGGTTCACGGGGTTTATGGGGTGTATAGGGTTTATGGGGTTTATGGGGTTTATAGGGATTATAGGATTTATGGGGCTTAGGGCATTTTGGGCCTCGAAATCATCCATACACGTTCTCGCTGATGGTTTTGAGGTGCATGTTTCAAGGTGACCGGCATTTCAGGTACCTCTGTCCTAAACACAGAACCATCTTGTTCTGCTTCATCAATGTGTCTCTTTTTTTTTGGCAGCTGTGGAGGGCAGCAATCTTTTTTAAACGTGCGAATCCTAGGCAGGACAATGTAGGACAAATCCTGGCCCCCAAAGACGGTAGAATGGTTTGCACTTCGCTGTTGTGGAAATGCCCTGGAGAACATGCAAGAGGGGTTGTTGATACTTGGAGATTCATGTGCAGTTAGGCTTGGGATGCTTGGGGCTGTACGTAGGCTGGCGACATTTCTTACATGAACCGCCTGGATCGATGATGAATGGGGGTTTCACATACCTGCCAAAGCCGAGGCCTTAACAACAAACCTCCCAATCAATGTTCAACCAGGCTTCGCAGACATATTGGCCCAGCGTTCATTCTACCTAACCACCCTACATCACAAATCTGGCGGACATTCTCATGTATGCCATTCTGTCCACTATGTCAAGCAGTGCTCATAGGGCCGCAGATCCAACCTCCAGGATCGAGGAATCTGCAATGACCTTTTCCAGGAAGGACACGCCCTCATCAGCATATCTTTGAAGGACCTGGCAAAGGCTGTCTTCTGATCCCTCATCACCGCTCGGTGGGGGCTGCGGTGGGCTGCAAGGACGCGGACGTCATACGACCTCTAAGGCTGTTAATGAGAACACTTTTGTGCTTTCGGTGCCGTGGCATGCTAATCGGTGGCACTTTGACACGGAACCGCCCGTGAAGACCCACTATGGCACATGAATGTGACCTTAAGTTGTTGCTTTGGGCTGCCTCCCTTAGGATTCAGCACAGTCATCTTGAAGTGACATCTGTGGAAAAAGGCCACGCCTGCGGAGAACAGCAAATGCAGCGTGAGAAAGGTTCTGTCTCCACTGGAGATAGAGTATACCTCGGCTCCGGATTGGCTTCCACCATGATGACTGCTTCATATCTGACTGCGCAAGGATCGGAATTCTTGCGGCAGCCTCACAGAAGAAACTCCAGAGAGTGCAACTGCCGAGTTGCTCCGCTGCATAACCGCGAACCTGCGAGGAAGACTCCTAAAGTGATTGAATTTTGTAGCATGCAGAATTTCGTAGAAATCGCTACCTGAGCCATCGCTGACTTGACCATTTACGTTAGGCTGAAATCCTTTGGGCTCGCCAGTCTTCCAGGCCTGGTGCGGCACGCCACCAAGAGGCGACTGAGCCAGACGCTCCGTTCCCGTGCAACAAGGAGCGGCAAATCCCTCCTTCAGCTGGCTTAGGGCTTAAGGTGTGGGGATTTCAGAAGAGGTTTAGGGTTTCGCGCTTTTCCCGAGAAGACCCCAGGACCCTTTCTATATCCTCTACATACTCTATATCTGTCCGACCGAGGAACCAGCACTTTTTGGACCCCACGGGCCTCGTGCTGTGTGAGTGCAGCAAGAAGCTCCACGGCTGTACCTGGGTTTAGCTGTTACCGTAAGGCTGTACGTCTGAGCTGGTAAAGCTCAGTTCGAGCGGGTGGAACAAACAGACACTTTCTGCACTGAGGGGTTACGGCTTCCTTCTAAGATAAGGGACCCGGAGTCTGGGATCTAGCTGTTCAAGGTTCGGAACTGGAGAATGGTTTCACATCACTCGATTACAACTCAAAAAACAACTCCGATAATTGGGCCTCAGATGCTGCTTGCCAGGCCAGAAATGCCGGGCCGCGTGACCGTGCACTGCTGGTCTAAGGTCCTGCCAAAGGAATCAGCTCCCCTCAAGGAGATTTAAGCTGTTGCAAAGGGATGCAAAGGGCTTTGTAAGCTTGTTGGGAGGGTTAGAGCAGGATTTGTATAGGGCGTATCTGGGGGCAGTCAGTCAAGCAGCGCGTGGTTTGAGTGCGGGACAGGGATTCTGCTGATGATGGCTAAGCTCAAAACAGTGTGGGAATTGCTGTATCTTAATGAACGCTACGGCTTTCAAAAAACAACAGAGCTTCCAAAGGGAGCCTTGCTTGTCAGACACCGCCCATAGGTACACACAAGCTTCACGCATACCACAGAGGCGGCGCGCACTCCTGAATGCCAGGGAGTCCTGGGCGTGGGTTGGTCTAAATCAGGGCAGGGTTGTCAGCAGGGTTGTCGGGATGTGTTCGCTGCAGCTCTGCTCAGGGCCTGCTGCAACTTTGGCTAAGCTTTCTGCTGGAAGGCGCTTGCATTCTCTTGCATCTGAAGCTGATGTCCATTTGAAGGTTGTAATCGCTGACATCATACAGGCACGGTCACATGCCATCCACGGAAAGCGGCTTGTGTCGAGCCAGGAGCATTGCTGAGGGTGCGCAGCATTGTCTCGGGATCTATCGCGGCCGTCGACAAACAAGAAGCGCTAAAGTGATTTGCAAGCAGGTTGCCTTGAATTGACAAATGCGTGTTTTTGCAAAATCATAGGCCCGCTTTGGTAGCACCTGGTATTTCCGGTACAGAGGGGACCTAAACTAGCCAAGGGGATGATGGAACCATCTTGTGTCCAGATAACCTCTGAGCTTGTCAGGCCTGTTTCAAGTTGCTAAATACTTTACCGCTCTAGTATCTGAACCCGAAAATCTGGGTCTTGTTACCCGCACTTGGGCAGCACATGGACTAACGCAAGAGTTGTGGAGGCGCCAAGTCTAAACTGGTCAAAGAACTGTGAAGCAGACTCCTTACGTCTGACATCTTAAATTGGTGAATTCCCTGGCTGAGCATTTCAATGCGGTCTATCAGGAAGCCTTGTTTTGATAAATGCCCCTCACCATTGCCCACTGAGCTTCTGCTGGCGCCGTGACATCATTGCAGAAGTAGCAAGCAGCCTCTGCATCTTTGTAGGTCTGCCTGCGGACTGTTCTACTTTCTATCTGCAAGCTGCTGCAAACAGAGGCAGCTTAGGGGGTCCTAGGATGAGAGGATGGGAAAATGTAGGACTTATAGTCCCCCTTAAGTAGATAGAATATGGTTTTGGGTAGATCTTGAAACCGCATATGTAGTGCAGGCGAGTATTGTAGGTAAACAGCAGGTTTAGAATGAAGTGGAACCCGCTACTTACAGGTGAGGATTGAGGACGTAGCATGTATGTCCAAAATGGAACCATAAGCTTCACAAGCAGGTATGTCATGAGTTGCGGAGATTAGCTGGAAAGGGCTACATCGTTAGCTGGAGGGAGCTCGTTTCGAGAAGGGTTCAGGTTGTAGTTGGTTTGAACTTAAGTTCTGCCATCCGAGTCGAAACTCGGAAAATGCCAAACCAAAAACAAGACGAGTCCGACAAGAAAAAGAATCTCGCCGATGCGCCTTTTCAGCACTGTTTGGTGCATCCTTAATTGCTGTTGCAAGCATCCCATTTTGATTCTTCCCAACTAATTTGGAGCAGGTGCCCGGCACCAGGCGGAATACTTGTTCTGCCTTGTTTCAATTTGCAGTCGTGTGATCCTCTGTTTGAAGCATGTCCATGGGATTACCATTACTGGTACTATTATTACTATTCTTACAATTATTACTGTTATTACTATTATTGCTATTATTTACTACTGTCTGAGAAACCTCTGCTGGCCTGGAAACAAGGAACGAGTCGAAGCCCAACGCAACCGTCAGCCCCAACGGTGGCGTGTCCTTCACCTGCCAAAACAGAAAAGCGCACAGACTACAAGGGGAGCTGAGCAGTCCATCAGCCGGAAATACTGGCGACCTAGAAGCCCCACTGACCATGTATCCCCTTCATGCACAGAGCCGGAAGGGTCCTTTTGCTGCGCAGCCACGAGCAAGGATGGAACCCACCGAGACTCTCGGGAGTCCGTCAGCATGCCTTCGCTGCCGGGCTTCTCAAGGGGCTTCCCAGGTTTCTCTCCCCGAACCAAGTCTTGTAATGCGGTTTGTACATAGCAGCAGGGTTATGTGGAAAGCTTTGGAAAGTCCTGTTAGACTGCGGTTGTGAAAAACGCAAATGAGATCATGAGATCCTGAATTAAGTGCTATCAAGCCTGCAGCCTCAAGCAAAGCCCCCCTGCAACTGCGAAGCCAACTGCGAAGCATGACCAGGCAGGCATTCCGTGAACTGAACCCAAGATCCTAAATCTCCAACCCTGAAACCCCGAGGCTCCTTCAATCTAAACCGCTAAGGCCAAAGCTCCCAAGTTCCAAGCCCTACGTCACAAATCTCAGCAGAGATTCACACCACATCATGGGCATCTATGAGCTCCTGTAGCTTGGCCTCAAATCTGGTAACAGCAATAGTAATAGTACTAGTACTAGTAACAATAATAGGTAACATTAGTGCTGCAGAGACTTTGGGGTGTCATAGTTTAGAGTTTGGGTTCTTCAGATGCAGAGCTTCGGGAGTCAGATTTGAGGTCCCGGAATACGGGCACATTTTTTCTGCCAAAGTCACTTTTGGCTCCTATTACAACGCGGCCCCAAATATTTCGGGTACTGTCCAGGCCGCTTAACATTTAAAGGATGGGATTTGCTCACTGTTTCTGGGGGACTGTAGCCCCGGGGACGACCCATACAAAGGGCCCTGAACCTCAAGCATACATGGCATGGGGCAAGCCGCTAAAACCCAGACAACCAGTGCATCGCGATATGCCCTCGATGTCACTTTTATTCTCAAGTGACATCCAACACCCAACCCCAAAACTTCCCCTGCCCGTCACCCCCGAGCTTCAAAGTCTGGAACCCGCTACATCCAGGAGCCCTGGAACACCTGCATTCTGAAACCTCAAATCCCACCCAGCTCTCTGTCTTTGAAATGCCACCCAGAGGCCAGGTTGCTCCTTAGCCCCTCAGCGGACTGGTGCGGATGGCCCGGCATAGGGATGTCCAGCACCACCTGTTCAAGGGTAAGACTTCCAAATTTTGGAAGGCTGTTTGCTGCTGACTTGGATGCTGGTACAGGATGGTACACGAAAAAATCGAATGCAATTTTCAGGACCGCCCTCGCATAGCCAAGTCGAGCACTTGCGGATTGCTACCAAGCTGCATCGGCAACTTCGGCGTCAGGAAGTATTGCCTGAAAAGATGTTGCGAGTTAAGGCAGTTACAAGTTGCAAGGATGGGAACATTCAATACGCTTAGTTGCTGACTCCAGCTAACATAGAAACAGCAGTTGTTTGATGCATAAATTGCGAGCAGGGTTGAGAATACGCGATGAAGCCTCCAGAGACAATGCTGAACATGCCTTCAAATCCGAAACATGGTCATCCTATGTCATCGTTGAGTGACTAAGCATGTGGGGGGAGTGTCCAAACTGAGTAATGGGAATGTCTGACGAATTCCTACTGTTCAACTCTGCTCAACATCTCCAACCGTTTGGATACGTAATTCAGTTTCCATTGTTCCAAACCATGCAACATTTACGTCGTGAGTACGGTCATTTCATGCGCCACTCTCTTCGTCGTTTGAATCTACATTTACGGGAAATGCGTAGATTGCCATTCCGCCTCGACTGCCTCCCGCGCAGCGGTCGCCTGCACATGGGAAAGATATGCCAAGACTCTCAAGTGTACCGCACTCTATTCTACTCTACTGGTAGCATTGAAGCATAATCCTAATGATAATACAATTGTGATTAATAAGCTGCAGTAATGATAGAAGTGTTAATGGGAATAATGACACCAACAAACATACAACTTACAACAACAGCCTTGTTATAGAAACTCCCCATGAGGAGATGCTTCCTTTAGAGGAAGCTGCAAGGTTGTGAGAGAAACTGAAGGCATGCAAGAAGTATGCGTGGATTATCAAATAGCAATTCACTTCTGCCTGTACGTGCCACTTTTCAGCATGCGCGCACGGTCGCATGTCTGCCATGCACCCAAAACAGCGAGAAGGCGCTCCTCTGCCCTGTACACTTCACAGCAGATGGGCGCCTGACGAAGCTTTGGACTGCGCGCTGTATGCATGCTGTGCAGCTGGGGATGACACTGTCGTTAGAAGCGATGCATGACAATCTATACAACTGCACCTGCTATCGAGGTGCACTGTGCATCGCACACTGGGCTGGCAGCTTTCTACGCATGCCGGCGACTAATTGCTACAGTCAAGGCCCTGATGGCCTCAGGGCAAGAGGGTTTGTTGAGATACCGTGAACTCGAAGCTGGTGCAGAAACTGGCATCCTTCTCCAGGTCGTCCTGATGAGGGTGGTCCTCCGAGCGGTGCACCAATTTGAACCAGGCATCCGCAAAGTCCGAATCGAACTTGGCATGATCGGATGCATACTCTTCAACAATCTGGAGGTAGGCTGGATCTGCGATGAGCGAAACATCTGCGGTGAGGCGCATGGTCTTGGAAAACTTGCTCGAGCGGTCGCGGGTGTGCCACTGGTCGTTTCCATACCTTGGCTGCACTGGCATCGATGCACAGACCATGAGTGCTTGTGACCATGTGCCGCAATCCTACCGACAAATCTGTGGTGATGCAGGCCAAGCAGCGGGCTCTTAGTAGGCACCCACTCTTCAGACAGCAGGGCGTCAAAGAAGTCGTAGGTCCATCTCGACGGGCTACCTCCACAGACCCCTCATGCACCGGATGCGGCTCCACGCTACAAAAATGCGTAGGTAGGGGAATCTGATGTGCTGCTTGAAGACAAACAAAAGCAACTGTCCGGATGCTGCCAGGCTGCGTGTCCAAGGGCCCTCGAAACCAGAGGACACTGTGTTGTTACCACGTCCTGCCTGACAAGCCAATGAGCACTACGCAATGCGTGCATCTTCGAGACATCTCCAAACAAAGACCTACGCACTAGTCAATGAGACCTGTGGCTTGGACATGCTGTGATTGTGGGCATCCGCCCTGCTGTCGTGGCCTCCCGCCCAGTACCACAGGTTCCATCCGTGGGTCCGCGGAGGCTGCCGGGCATGGCCTGGAGGCGTCCGCGTCACAAGCAACAGGCTTCAAACCTTCATGATGGCTGGTGTTCGGGCATGTTTAGCATAGCATCGCGCAGGCATGGCCTCAAAATAGGGGCCGATGTTGTTGTACGGATCTTCTGCCCACTTGCTGCCGGTAAGATTGCCTGAGCAAGTACTGGGCGCAACCTGCTCACTAGTTTCTAGCTTTTCTAGCTGTCATGATGCAGACCAGTCATGCATTTTCGCCTCTACCTGTTCACCTTGCTCTATGATCTCTAAGGAGAGCCCGGTGTTTGCACATGCCATGGCTGCGTCACGTCCCAGGTGCAGTTGCCATGGGTCCGACCCAGAGTGTGCCCGCCGCCGATGAGAGCAACGGTCTCGCGGTCGGTCCAGCCCATGCGATCCTTGAAGGTGTCGCGGACCTCCTGGTATGTAATCAGGTGGATGGAGTCTCAAAGGTCGTAGTACAATCATCAAGTCTTAGTGAAGTGCATTGCAACCGAGTCACGAGAGCGCTGAGCCGCGGCGAGCGGTTGTGCACCCAGTAGGGTTTGTAGTCCTGTGAGGTCGTCTTCAGCTCCGGGCCCTCGGGGTAGACGTAGATGAGGCCAACGGAATGGCTAGCTTGCAGCCGTTGCTCAGGCTGCTCGATCTTGCAGCGGGCATGGTCCGTATTGTTCTGCTCCGGCCAACGGAAAGAGTTGGGGCACTCAAAGTTGGATTTGCAGAACTTACTGCCGTGGCACTGGCTCACACCCTCCACGCCAAGTGGGATCGAGCGCTCGCCATTCACATCATCCACACGTCCAAAACAGAACTTATTGGCCGGGCCGCCGCTTGCTTTGATGGCCACCGTGCCAGCAAAGGTCATGAGATCTGACCAGCTGATGTGGTCACCAAACTGCAGCTTCACTTCTGCCAAGAGCCCGCGGGCCTTGTCCAGGTTGGTGTTGTCACGCCACTCATTCTCCGGCCAGTGGCGCTGTCGAGCCCCTTCGCAACCCCCAGCAGCATGTGTATCGTTGATCATGCGGAAGGAGCCGGAGCAGTGCCAGGCCAGGCGTGCAAAGAGACCAGCATAGCTGGACACGTCGCCATCCTGCGGCCCATCCGCTGGCCAGTATGGCTTGGATGTGGTCATCAGTGTTGCGATGGCGTTGTAAAGATGTTCCACATCCAAGGACTGAAGCTTGCGATGGTACTCTGCCTTGCTCATGACCTGGGCATCCGGGTGGTCACCCCGCAAAGAAGGCAAGTCCTGCCAGGCTGGGATGGTGCCCAGATCATATGCGGGGAAGTCGTCCCCCCGCATCTGGGCTGCTCCCACACTGAGCACGGCACAGACCATGGCGCACACTGGCGATGCAAGCATCTTCCCCTTTGCCCTCAAAATGCTACCAAAACTTTTACCTGCCTCGTTGAGCAATCGTGCTGGCGAAACATAGCCTTTCCACATGCCCTAGTCAAGGGTGCAAGCTATGACCACACGTGCATTTCTCGGTCAAGCCACAGGACACTCAACCCCGAGCACACCTTCTTGCGACCCTCTGCGGCATCCCTGTGCGTGAAGAGGCTCTGCCGGACCGGGTTGGAGAAAGAAACCTGCCCAGGCAATCGCTCCCCCGGATCGGAAGAACAAGGCTTATAAACTGAACTGCTCCATCTCTCACAACATGTGGAAACATGTCACCTAGATCGCTGCGTCCACCTGAGAACCTGCTCCTGCTTGTCTATAGAGAACGCGTCTTGAATGCATGTCAGTTTACCATGCTGCTGATATCAGGGCAGCTACTAGGTGCACAAAGTAACTCCTGAAGACTGATTTGCGCATGCGTCCATGCTGGTGGGACCTTTCTCCGAGTCTCCGACATGCACCCCAAAAGGAACCTCACATTTAAGGGCCCTGAATCCAAACGACTGTGCACTTCTCCTGCGCCTTGCCACCATCGACGAACGTCATCCGCCTGGCAGGAGCTTTGCAACATCTTACCGCGCTTCTTGAAGGTTCTTCGTGGGTGACGAAAAGTGGTGTTACATGATGATACATGCAGAAGATTGCACTTACAAGCTCATGTAGGGCACTTACGACCCTGCTATACTCAAGAACACCTCCACGTGGGTAGTTCCCCCACTACACGGCTTAGGTCATGCCGGTGTGAGGGTAAGAGGGCTATATACGGCTATAGAATGGACACATAAGCCTCCTACAAGGGTGTCCACAATGGCGGGGCTTGATGCGTCTCAACCCCCCGAGATCTTCAAGAAAGGAATGAGCAACAGAAATTTGCCAAGCTCAGGATAATCAGGGGCTTATCTTCCCTCATCTTGGATCTGGGCTTCAGCGGCCTTACCTTTGGGTTCCGTTGTGGGCCTGCTGTTGTGCGCGTGAACTGATTCCAAGACCACGCTCCCGCAAGATGCAAGCTCTGAATGCACTCCACAATACGGCTCGAGGGTTTCATATGAGATGTTGGCCATATGTACCATAGTCTAAACTCTTAGTATGCCCCTTAATAACCCCCATAATACTCCCTTATGTAACCCCTACATAACCCCCTTTAAGGAGTTTAGACTATGGCTCATATGCCCAACACTTACCACCAGGCACCGAATGAGTTGGAGCTCAGGAAAGGAAAACTCAAATGGCAACCTCGCTGTCGCCTGCAGCCCCAGCCCATGAGGGCCCTTGCCACGCCACATCCCAGTGTACCGGCTCCCAGAAGTAACACTCTCAGCTCCTGTAGGGTTCAAGGAATCGCAATACTACTGTGATGGCAAGAATAATACTGGTAATCATACAAATGGTAGCAATACTAATAATACAAGATATGTTAATACTCATAATACTAGTACGAGTAACACTATAACACTGAAGTAAAAATGGTGATAACAATGATAACTGTAAGAGCGATGGTACTGTGTACATATATATATATAATTCTACGTTTATGTACTGATCTTTTACTTATTCCCGTAAAAGCAGCAAAGAGAAGTGGTAACCTGATAAGTAGTTTGAGGTGGAGGAGGCTTACAAGTAGAATGTAGAGATTGCAGCAGATGAGGGCGAGGAGCACCGAGGAGGATGGAAGGATGGTGGGAGGAAGGTGGACAAGTTCTCTGGAAGTTCTTGCCGCTGTTTCATGAACTCAGAGTGCTCGCGACATTCTCCTGCTGATGATTCAGCTCAGAGTCGTTAGTTATCCGCTCTCGGAACCACTCCAAACACTCAGCAGCTCCTTCATCCGTTCAGGCTGCAATGATGGCAGCACCCGCCATTGCATCAGCTTGATGTTGAGATCCACTGCATTTGCCTACAGCTCAGGAAAGCTCCAACCAGTTTCACACGAATGGACTTCTCTTCTGCACGTGCTACATCCTGCTACGATGATTGCAGCTGCAAAGCACGTGCAGGCGTGGCTAGAGACTCACGGTCCAATCCAAGGCACAGCAACTGTTTTGGAATCCAGGAAGCGAGTAAGATCTGTGGTGGAAATCTTCCTGAGCATGGGCAAGTCATGTCTGGACATCAATTCTAACGGGACTGCTTACAAGCATTTCGTTAGTGAGGCTACAAACACGCTTAGGCTTGGGAAGAGCTGCAGGGTTGTTAACGTGTTGTTTGACACAAGACCACGCCCGGAATCAGAGAGAGCCTCAAGGCTAGCGACACAATCTCTGCTTAAACTAGTCCAACAAGGATTCACACAATGGGTTGCAAATTCACGCTGACCTGTGTCATACAAGGACGCAATCTGCCGTAATGTGAGTGGCTATACTGAATAGTCTTAGTCGTGGAGATCTTAAACAGTAATCCCATTTCGGTCCAGACTGGTGCAGGCCTGTTTTTGGTTTGGGGGGCGGAAGGTTGGCAAAATTTCAAATCTCCCTCTGTTTGTGCGGATTCTCTGAGCGGTTTTGTCTGGGGATTCCCTATTTGATAATTGGGGAGGTTCTGTCTTCAGCAAAGCTAGGCCCCCTAAGCCTTGCTTAGACGCCGTTTTCGCCTTGGCTCATGGCAATGCACCTGTTCTGAGCTCCTAGACCCTGAACATCCCCACTGCACCCTTAAACCATTACAACTTCTGCTGAGCCAAATCACGACCAACCCGGACGGCACTCTACAGGTATGGAATCCAGAGCCGGCACATCGACGTCGAAGAGCCGCGACCGGAATGGTGCTGAGACAGATGCTTCAAACGGATCCATGAGGGTTCATTACTGCTTAGATTTGTTTTCATGCGCCAGGTAGACGTGATCCAGATCTACGTGTCCATGGTAAAGTTGAAGAGACTGGACAGCCTCTCTAGAATTGGCTCTACGAAAGCGTGAGTATGCCGAGAGCCAGCCATTCCAATCTCAAGAACTATGCCCGCGTCTGAGAACACACCACCACAACCCTTCACACCCCCTCGCCTGCAGCGCCACCATAGCCCTGTGAACCGGCCGCCAGCTGTGGATCGCCTGAGGGTAAGGGTTTCTTTTCTCGAGACAGGGTTGCTCATGGCCGCCCCATTTGTGGGGAGTTAAGGGAGCCTTGCTATCTAGGTGCATAAATATATCAATATATATGGGTATATGTACCCCGAAGGAGTAAACGAGAAGTTCGAGAAACTCCGATATCGCGCAAGATGATAAATGCCCACAGAGCAGACCTCACCTGTTCACTCAAGAAAGGTGCCTGATTTAAGGAGCGCAAAGGAACGAACAAACTGCGACTTCAAAGCGATTCAGCGCTTTGGGGTAGGATCAGGTACCTTCATCATAGCTGGATGGAGACTCTTGTTGGGCTCCTACTTCCCTGACATAAAGCCCCCGGTTCAGGTTCGCTGGGGGCTTCAAACAGATGGCCGCTAAGCCAGCTGGCTAGCTGCTGCAACCCCAAGACTGCCCATTCTGCTTATGACAAAACCCATTGGGGAAACATTACCAGGGTTATATTGGGGTTATGTTGGGATAATGGAAAATAAAATTGAAACTACTATCTTATGTACTATTCAGAGCCATGATGACACACGCATGTCAACACTCTGAGAATGAACTGGTTCTAAAGGCAAGTTCTCCCAGAAACGTAGCGTCCGTCTGCCGAGGGGCGGAAGCCAAGTAAGCGGTGCTTTCCCGGGCGGTAAAAGCCCAAGAGGACCAGAAGGTTCCTTCTCAAAGGCTAGAACAAAGCCCTACAAAGGACTCTTAAGGTTAGCGTCTTTCAGACAGGCTGCATGCTGGTGGACTTCCTGTTGTATAGATGAGTGGTCCTCGCAAGCTACCCTTCCACGAGTCCCAAGTCGAGGCACTGGAGCTGACCTCATACAGCCTGAAATTGGTAAATCGGATCCACAGTCTAACCTCAAGCAGAGTGCAAGGGATGTTTTGTTGCATGCCCTCTGTCTTGAGAAGGCCTTAAGAATGTAGAAGCTCTGACACTCAGACAGCTTGCACATATTGCTATGTCGCACCTAACCACTCCTGTTGGGGGACAACGCTCTCCTCTCTGAAGATGAAGCATGTCTGGATCCTACCCCTAGGCCCTGAATTCTGGAAACTATCATGTGGGAATTCTGATCCCTAATGGGAACTCCGTAATCCGTTTGACATCACTACATATCGGTAGAAAACATGCCAAGCTTCTGCAGTGGCCAGCCCGGAGCCTTCTCAGAAAGCTATGGCCGGCTTAGGATTTAGGGCTTGGTTTTCAGGGTCTGAGCGTTTTAGGATTCATGTTTCTGATTCAGCGAGTTCAGATCTGCGTTTCAAATCCCAAGGTTCAGAGGCTTCAGTTGCTGTTCATCCCTTTGTCCTTCCCATGCTGGTGGCGTGAACATTGGTGTTCTCGGACAAGGCAACAGTAATATGCATGGGAAAATACCATAGGGTTGCAGTGGCATCGTTTCGCTGTGACCTAACAACCTCTGCTCGTGTGAAGAAAGGTGCTCCCACATCATGTGTTGGCTCTGAAACTCCGGAGATTTCAACTTTGGATGTGCTCTCTTATCCCATGTACCATCCCTGGCCTCAACCTCGAGCTTCATGTTACACACTCCTACACGAAGCCTGGAAGCAGATAGGGAAGAAAAAAGGTAGAGGCTCTTCATGGGGTCCAATGCAACACAGAAGCACAGGGGCCATGGTGGAAATTCTTGTATGATGGCAGGACATGGGATTTGTTCAGCGATTCTCTACAGATATGATTTTGGCAGTAGCACATATCTTACCTGGACATTTGCATGAATTTGCTTCTGGCGAGCCAGGCACAACAAAACCTCATGCCTCGCACAGAGCCCTCGGCCCCAAGCAATACTGACGCAGCACAAACGATTCATGTTCAAGCTTTGGCTTTGGCTACCATGTACTACAACCGAAGCGGGAGTATCATAGCATGTCAGGGAGACAAAGATGGCTATATGCCCCGGCTTGCACATCCCGGCCCACTACGCCCAAAACCCCAAGTAGAGTTCAATTGCATTTTCGAGGCATTCCCATTGCACGTCAGCCTCGTCGGAGGCGGAATCTGCGAAAGCCACGATGAGCGACTCTTGGGGAAGGCCCTGGCACTCTCCAAAGGTTAATTGTGACAGTTGGTGGTGGCATGCTAGCATTGACCCATGCAATGTTACACCACGTGCTCTGTTGCGATCTTGGGCTTGAAAGTTAGGATTTCGAGTTGAGAGAGAAATGTTTTAGGAGACAATGTCCAAGGTGTAAGATGGTTTCGGGTTCGGGGCTTTGGGTTCAACTAGCTCAAAAACTTGCATGGGAGGCATGCGATTAATACCTTACCAAAGTTCAATAGAAAGACCACAAGTTGCGCAGTGGCAGTCCTTCAGCTTTGATAGCTCTGCCAGCGGCTGGACGGTCCAAGACCCCTGCAAGCAAACGATGACAATGCAGCGGTCGAAAAACAACAAAAAATGGGGCGGGGGTGGTCTTTGCGGATGATATGTTGCAATCGTCTGAGGGCGCTAAAGGAATACCAGCAATACTCATTCCAGGTTCTTACAGCTTGGAGCTGAGCCTGGATCCCTGGTACTACTGTTGATGGATGAAATCTTGCACCACTCAGGGGCCCTAAACTACTGTAATTCCTAGGCCTTTGGGTACTTAAGGTGGTGCAAGATTTCCGCCATCAACAATAGATATGGCTTTTACTTTTAAACGCATGCCTACCAAAAATGGGGCATCCCATTACAGGCTCGAAATAAGAAATCACACACCTCTACTTCAATGCTCCATAAGTCCCTCCAAAGGCCACAGCACATCAGGGGCAACGCCTGTTTAGCACAAAGAAGCGCAGGCCTCTCCGCGGACTAGGAGGCAAACGCCCGAATGGGTGGAGTCCTCTCCTGCACGCGCATCATATGAGCGACAACTGTTATTTATGGTCGGGGCTAATTGACTCTATTCTTTATCCGTGGTCCCTTATCTCGT